CCACTCTTTGAAATTCTAAGAGAAAAAAACCCAAGGACCAAAGTAAAGTAGATTAGATTATCTGTTAAGACTTGGGGAATGTGCTCTGAGATACTCTCAGAGATCTGGTTTCTAATCAGGTAGTCAAAAATTAAGGTCCAGGCCTGGATCACAATGACTGTATCAATAAAAAAGGAGAGGATGAGGTTCCAACCGGTGATGAATGCCAGAGTCCACCTACAGTGACAAAACAATAGAGATATGCGGAACCAGAATGCGGAACCCGGGCGCTAAACTCTGCATAGCACAGCCCAGCCAATAACGAAGTTAGGCCAGCCACCAAGAAGCATATCACAGTGGCTGGTCCTGCTTGACTACTAGCCACCTCAGCAACCAGGAAATACACACCAACCCCCACTGGCGGCCCACACCCAGGGCCACTAAATCCAGAGCGCTCAGGCTTCTACCAGATTTAAACTCATGCACTTTTTGTTCCAGCAGACGTCTGTGTACCAACTTTTCACCAAACTTGCGGAGTGCTTGATGCAGCATTCTAGCTGGAATTGAAGAAGATTCTAAGGTTCAGAGAGCTGTAGCAACCTCTGGGAGCCAAGAGTGTTAGATATGGTTCAGTGAGGCTGAACAGGACATGCTGAGAAGGGCCCCAGGAGGCAGGTGTTTTGTGCTCTGGGGAGTCCCTTGTCCTTTCCACACCTGGGCCCCAAGCCTGGCTGCTTTCCAGGGCAGAAAGTTCATGAGGGGCCCCACAGTGTGGTCATATGACTCTCTGCTGTTCCCTCACCTGTTTTATGACTTGAGGTGAGTTACTTACTCTCTCTATGCCTTAGTTATCTGTAAAATAGCAGCACAAGTGTCTGCTTCTGTAGCCTGTTATTGAGGAGAAAATGAAATTTATGCAGAAGAACTTTGCACATTTTAAATATTTCTAGGATCTGCTTTCGTGTATTTCCTGAAAACATGCGTCCATGGTCGACTAGAAGGGTAAAATGTTCAACATGGAGGAGAAATGTGATTACCTACCCAACTCCTGGCCTTAATTTTTGTTAACTCTGGACATTCTGAAATTGATTACACTTCAGTGTCCATGGGACTGCGAATTACATTGGGTTTTGCTCCGTGGTCTTCTCTGCATGACTTCTCTAGAAGGTTCCCCTGCACCTTCCCTCCTTGAACTCCAGCTGTAATCACACATCTGGCTCTGGGACCTTCACCTGTGGCTGACAGAGCAGAGGGCATGGAGCACAATTCTCCTTTAGGTTGCTTGGGTCAATATTCTCAGGGTCTCCCCTGGCCCTGAGAAGAGCTGGGGGAGCTGGTCTCAGCACAGTTGTGAGAAAGCCTGGGGGAGAAGGCAGGGGCCAGCTTGCTGTGCTGTCTTAGGTCTTCACATACTTGGCTGGTGGCTTCATCCCTGGTCCCTTATAACCTAGATTCAAGCATGTACCCTGGTCTCCAGGTCTGTATTCTCTACCTCAGTTTCTCCTTTTGTGGATTTCATATGTGCACTTGTGGGAGCCCTTAGCGAGTAGCTGCTTGAAGGCATTGATCCTGACTGCTCAGGTGTCTACACTGCTGACTCCAAATTAAAGGACAGTCACTCGTGTGTTATTTTTCTCACACTGTGTGTGACTGTTCTTTAGTTCTCAATGAAAAATATTCCTGGACTTTACCTCCTCTCTTTCCTCCATGAGATCCCTAACCAGGCTGTCCGAGTACCTTCACCAGAGCTGGTCACTTCCCTTTCCTGCCTGCCTCAGTTTCTCTTTTTCCTTCTCCCCCAACTCCATTGTGTGTGTGCCAGGCTGTATAAAATCTGAGATATTAGGGATGAGCTCAGGCCTCCTTTGATGGAGGCATTCTGGGGTGGGGGGTGGGCAGGGGATGCAGTGTCTATATCCACGTAGGGCCCCTGGGACCAAGTGGGCACAGGAGTGAGCCTGGGGCAGCCCTGGCAGCAGCCTGGCCCTGTCAGTTCTCTGGGCCCATCCAGCAGCAGCAGGTTGTGGCAGGGACCCGAGCTCAGCAGGAGCCAGGAGGGAGGGCAGAGGCTCCTGGAGCCACTCTGCAGCCCCCTCCCGGCCTGGCTCCCCCTCCTGCTGCACACCTGCCTCCTTCTCTCTACCTGTCTGCTCCCCCACCTCCTCCCTGCAGCCCTGGCTTCTTCCTCCATCTTGGCCTCCTTCACCTTCACCTCTGTCAGCAGATATGTCTGTCTCAGGGCCTGTCTTTCTGTCTCTCTGACTCCAGAGAGGACTGCACAAGAGTGGCCTGTTTTCCCAGGACTGGGTCTGCCCTGAGCTCCTTCTTCAGCTGTCTTCCTGCCTGTGTCCCTCCCTCAGAGTGTGAGGGTCTCTCTTCCTCTCACATCTATGTGAGTCTCACCCTGGGAGCCAGTGTCGGCCCTGCATGTCCCCTATCAATATTCTGTGCTGCCTCCCGCATCCCTGGTCCCTCTTTACCCTCCCTTCTAGAGCTCTCCCTGCTTCTCTCATCTCTGTGTCTCTCAGTCTCTATGCCTGTCTCTGGCTCACACACTTGTGTCCTCCCCTATTCCCTCCTCCCCCTTCAAGGTTCAGAGACTTCAAGAGAATCACCAGTAATGGACAAAACCAACAGATTTCACCATGTTGTGCATCTCCTTGATGAGGCATTTAAGGCCCAATAACGCATCCTCCCTATTCTCCCCGGCCTGGGCCAGATCATTTCTTTATCTGGTGATTATTTGTGGGACTTGGATTTTCCTCCAACCTCCCGCCCCCTCTCCCCAGTAGGCAGTGAGTACCATAGGAGAAGGGGAAGGGATTGTTCTGGGGACCAGATGCAGGATACCCAGACCCTCCCCTGCACCTGCCCTTCTTTCCCTCAAGCAGAGGCACATCTGGGACAATCCCAGCCTGAGGCAGGGAAGACTGCCTAGGACCTGGGAGCAGACACAGATCACACACCCAGCTGCCCCTCTCCTAATTTCCTGTCATCACAGCCCTCCTGCCAGTCTTGCCAGGCTCCTCTGCCTCTAGGAATCCTGGCTCTGTGGTCTAGGCTGGACCATCACCCCCTCCCAAGCACAGTGCCTGGAACACAGGAGGTGCTCAGTCAGGGCCCCTGGTCCCTGCTCCCTGGAGATGTGTTAGGACGGGGGCCGTGGGATCTGTAGGGTTTTTGTTATTATTATTATTATTATTATTATTAAAGTCTCATTTGCCATCATATAGTATAACACCCAGTGTTCATCCCATCAAGTGCCTCCTCCGTTCCTGTCACCCAGTTACCCCATCCCCCCCACCCACCTCCCACTCCACTACCCTTTGTTTGTTTCCCAGAGTTAGGAGATTCTCATGGTTTGTCTCCATCTCTAATTTTTCCCACTCATTTTTCCTGTAGGTTTTCCACAGGTGGAGGTTCTTACCAAGATCTGGGACAGTTCTGTCTGCTCTATGTTCAAAGGTCTGTGATTATATAGTTAGTATAGACTCTGTTCCTTTAAGGACCTGTTGCTCCCCTTCTCTCCCCTCCCTCCACCTCCACCTCTGTCTTTAAAGCACATAATTATAAAGAAGATGTGGTCTATGTATACAATGGAATATTACTCAGCCATTAGAAACGACAAATACCCACCATTTGCTTCAACGTGGATGGAACTGGAGGGTATTATGCTGGGTGAAGTAAGTCAATCGGAGAAGGACAAACATTGTATGTTCTCATTCATTTGGGGAATATAAATAATAGTGAAAGGGAATATAAGGGAAGGGAGAAGAAATGTGTGGGAAATATCAGAAAGGGAGACAGAACAAAAAGACTCCTAACTCTGGGAAATGAACTAGGGGTGGTGGAAGGGGAGGAGGGCAGGGGGTGGGGGTGAATGGGTGATGGGCACTGAGGGGGGCACTTGACAGGATGAGCACTGGGTGTTATTCTGTATGTTGGTAAATTGAACACCAATAAAAAATTAATTTATTAAAAAGATAAAATAAAAAAACACATAATTTATGATTTAGATGAATCTTGTGACTATCAAGTAGAGGCAGTTGTTCCACTTTCCTTGAAACCCATTGCTTGTGGGACTATCACATGTGCATTCAGTCCTGGGCGTCTAAATAGGCTCTACTTTCTCCATCTCTGGGAGGTCTTGCCTCTGAAGATTAATATTCTGGGAAGGATTCCTTCCTTTGATCACTGTTTCAGGGTCTTGGAAGCCTTACATTGTGATTGGCTAGAGCAGAGAAATCTATAGGCAGGGACTATATCTTACTTCCACCAGCACAAGGCTTAATGCACATTCATTCAGAATATACTATGAACACTGAGTGACTGTCTCAGGACATCCCTTTGGGGATGCTTAAGTCTATTCTCTTTTCATTTTATTTCTGGCATCACTGGAAACGTGGCTGAGGGGCCAGGATGGTTGGTGGTTTTAGGGGAACCTGTAGGAGATTCTGGGAGAGGCAGCTGGAGGTTGGGAGGGTTGCTTCTGTGCTTGTTTACAGGACTGCTGAGTGAGCTTTTTAGCTGGATCTGGGACTGGCCTCCATACCCTGAACTCCACCAAGCTCTCCACACTCTCCTTTTACTAGCCAGTACTTCCTCCATGCCCAGGACCCTAGAGAACTTTTTTCCTTCCACATTCACATTTTGCTGCCAGAAAAGTCTCCAGGAAAGTCCCATTTAAACCTTTAGTCCACTTCCTCACCATGCAGGGCCCCAATGGTCTTCCATTGTCCCCCTCTAGTCTTCCTCCACCATTCCAGCTAAGCCACCTCCCTCCTACTTTCACATCCTTCTCAGGCCCTTTTTGCCCTTTGGCCTCAACAACCTGAGGCCCAGCTTGGTTAGTACTCAGACTTCCTGAGGCCCCTCCTCCTCAAGATCTTGCCTCCCCAGGGACTCAACTCAATGAGGGCCTCTCTAAGCTCCACTCCAAGCCTGACTCTGGTTGGCCAAGCTCCTTCCCTGTCCATGGGTTTGTCTTGCTCTTTCATCCCAAGTGTTTCTCCTCCGAGGCAGAAAAAGCCCCTGGGTAAGTGATTTCTGCTATTTAAGAGTTGGCAGAAAAACTGAGACAGAGTCAGAGAGGAAGAAGACTGGGCTTGGAGTACCACTGGCTATAGAAGCCCTGTGGGTTTTAAGCAGAGGGTATTTCATGGCACCAGAGCTAGACTTTGATCTGGCTGGTGTAGACCACTACCTTGTGGGTTTGGGAAAAGCAGGTATGTTTGCTGGGGTCAGAGGGATTTGGAGACCTACACTCTGTTCTTCTCCAGAACAGAAAGGTTCTCAGCTCTGATGAGCAAAATCTGAGTTAAGGGAGGTTATTCCGTGGAGCTTCTCCTCTAGCATCCTCCCACTGTTTGCCCTGCTCTCCTTTCCTTTCTGACCTGGTGCACAGCTTACTTTCTTCATCTTTGCCTCTCCCACAGGGCCTAGCACATAGTATGCTTAGACATATTCCTGGAATGAAGATTTTTTCACTGGGCATTACTGCCTTCTCCATGTTTTGACTTGCTCCCTCACTGGAGTTTCAGAAAGTCTCTTCTCATATCTTCTTAGAGAAGACATCGGTGTGAAATTTGTGGAATAGCAGGTCCAGTTTGATAAGGTGGTCACCCATCACCAGAAAGGACTTGAGGGGCTTCTTCCTTCAGGCTCAAGGAGCTAAATATCTATTATTTGTAGCTGCTAAAGGTATCTCCCTGCCTTTCTTATCTAATTTTAAAAAGAGTGGTGGTGATGGATTATAGGCTGGATCAGAATGTAGGCGGAAAGATTACCAAGGTCCCATGGGGTGTGGCCTCTTAGTGGCCATTAAAACACTGAGTCACCAAGAGGCAGTTGGCTGTTATCACAAAACTTATTTGCACCTATTTAATTTTGAAGGCTCTTGGAGTCTTAAACTGTTATTGTGTACATTGTTGGCAGTAGGCCAACACCAAAAGCCAAGACAATACTTATTCATGAATGCCCCCTGTTTTTTGCATTACATGTGGCAAATGTTAATTTCTAGGTTTTCTTTCTCTTGCTCTCTAGCAGTTCTTGGTCTCCTCTCCATTATCAATTGATGTGTGTTATGTGCTTCCAGAAGGCAGATTCATTTTAATCTTAAAGCAAAAATTATGCGGAATGGTCAGTTTCTTTACCAAGTATGTTCCAAATTGATAAATATGATCTTTGGATTATATTCACTTGGTTTATTCTTGTTCATTTTTTCTTTGATTATCACAGAAATCACAAAGCAGGATGGGAATGAGAAAGAGCTAGTAAGAGGGATAAAGGGTGTCCCTTAAAGAATGGTAACAGAGGCTGGTTGTTGTAGATTATGTTGCCTGAGCTGGGGTGAGGCTGGTGGGTCTTTTGTGGAGAACGCATATGGATTTATATTTGGAGAAGAGCTCAGAACTTTGAGGCATGATACAACTTTCAAATGACTGGATGATCTAGTCTTTCCTACAATAAAACAAAACAAAACAAACCATTTTTCAAAGGAGCAGGTGGTGGTGTGAAGCTGCCTGCCACCCAAGGTTATGAGGTAACCCAAGCACAGTCTGGTAAGAGAGGACAGAGACAGAGCTGAGTCCTTACAGGGGAGGACAGAAGAACACATTTAAAGATATGAAGGAAGATAACCAGAGAAATAGTCAGCCTTTCCATGCAGCCAGCCATGTTGTATGCAGTGTCAAGATGGTCATCTTGGTTTGGCATGAAAGAAATGTTAAGAATTTCCAAAACTGGATTGTGTCTGACTGTATAGCTGGAAATGAGTCAAATAATGAATAAGGAACTTTGCATTTGTCTTTGTCTTCTCTGAAGTTATCACAGAGGCACTAAGAAAAGGCATCTGTGCACAGCCATCCCAGAATGATACGAGATCATCTGGAGTCTATACAGCTCTAGAGAAGCTCCGGCTATCTGATTGTTTACCCAAATAATGGTGCAATGAAACTAATGTGGCATTACATGTAGCAGGGACTCCATAGATATTGTGGGGAGGAAGCAAAAGTGCTTTGGTCTGCATCTGCATAGATTTTGGTCTACATCTGGCATATGGATTTTGTCTACATACCTTTGGTATGGAGCATGTTAGTCTGCATCAGGGTGGGTTTTCACTGATTTGGAAATCAGCCGCTGCCAGACTGGGATGGGAGTTGGGAGGTGCTGAGGGTGATAGGGTAAGTAGATGAGTTGGAGGAGGTGTCTGTGTTTCCTCTTGGTCTAATTAGCAGACACTTTGGGGGCTGTCATGCCTTCAAGTTGTTTGCACCAAGAAATATTTACTTGGATAATTAGGGTTTCTAGCCTTATTGAGAGAACATGATGCAGATTCTACCCTAAGGACTTTTATATTAGAAAGGGAGACAAAGACTTCTCGTAACAACTGCAAACAGAATATAGTACAAAGTGAAATGATAGTTGAGAGGATACCTGGTAAATGATTCATTTGGTAAAGTTACTCTCAGAAGGTTACTGGGTGATAAGTTAGAATATTTATTTTTACGTCTTAGCTGAATTTGGTTACTTCAGATTTTTATCCAACCTTTCAGGGAAGATATGTGGTCTTTACGTCTCTTTCTCCAGAGGAGAGGTTGTACATTCATTACTACTGCAGTGGTTTCTCTCATTTTTCAACTTTTGCACAAACCAAGACTGATAATAATAATAATTATCATTATTATCATATTAATAAGAATTATTACCATCATTATAATAACTATTATTATTAGATGTTAGCATTAGATCTGCACTAATATCTAGAGCAAATATTTAACTGGATCTATTTTATTTTTAATTTATTTTTTTATTGGAATTCAATTTGCCAGCATATAGCATAACACCCAGTGCTCATCCCATCAGGTGCCCCACTCAGTGCCCCACACCCAGTAACCCCCACCCCCTGCTCACCTCCCTTTCCACCACACATTGTTCCTTCCCAGAGGTAGGAGTCTCTCATGTTCTATCTCTCTCTGATACTTCCCACTCATTTTCTCTCCTTTCCCTTTATTCCCTTTCACTATTTTTTATGTTCACCAAATGAATGAGACCATATAATGTTTGTCTTTCTCCGATTGACTTATTTCACTCAGCATAATACCCTCCAGTTCCATCCACGTTGAAGCAAATGGTGGGTATTTGTAATTTCTAATGGCTGAGTAATATTCCATTGTATACATAGACCACATCTTCTTTATCCATTCATCTTTCGATGGACACCGAGGCTCCTTCTACAGTTTGGCTATTGTTGACCTTGCTGCTATAAACATTGGGGTGCAGGTGTCCCGGGGTTTCATTGCATCTGTATCTTTGGGGTAAATCCCCAGCAGTGCAATTGCTGGGTCGTAGGGCAGACCTATTTTTAGCTCTTTGAGGAACTTCCACAAGTTTTCCAGAGGGGCTGCACCAGTTCACATTACCACCAACAGTGCAAGAGGGTTCCCCTTTCTCCACATCCTCTCCAACATTTGTGGTTGCCTGCCTTGTTAATTTTCCCCATTCTCACTGGTGTGAGGTGGTATCTCATTGTGGTTTTGATTTGTATTGCCCTGATGGCAAGTGATGTGGAGCATTTCCTCATGTGCTTGTTGGCCATGTCTATGTCTTCCTCTGTGAGATTTCTGTTCATGTCTTTTGCTCATTTCATGATTGGATTGTTTGTTTCTTTGCTGTTGAGTTTAATAAGTTCTTTATAGACCTTGGATACTAGCCCTTTATCTGATAGGTCATTTGCAAATCTCTTCTCCCATTCTGTAGGTTGTCTTTGAGTTTTGTTGACTGTATCCTTTGCTGTGCAAAAGCTTCTTATCTTGATGAAGTCCCAATAGTTGATTTTTGCTTTTGTTTCCCTTGCCTTCATGGATGTATCTTGCAAGAAGTTACTGTGTCCAAGTTCAAAAAGGGTGTTGCCTGTGTTCTCCTCTAGAATTTGGATGGAATCTTGTCTCACATTTAGATCTTTCATCCATTTTGAGTTTATCTTTGTGTATGGTGAAAGACAGTGGTCTAGGTTCATTCTCCTGTATGTGGATGTCCAATTTTCCCAGCACCATTTATTGAAGAGACTGTCTTTCTTCCAGTGGATAGTCTTTCCTCCTTTGTCAAATATTAGTTGACCATAAAGCTGAGGGTCCACTTCTGGATTCTCTATTCTGTTCCATTGATCTATGTGTCTGTTTCTGTGCCAGTACCACACTGTCTTGATGACCACAGCTTTGTAGTACAACCTGAAATCTGGCATTGTGATGCCCCCAGCTATGGTTTTCTTTTTTTACTATTCCCCTGGCTATTCGGGGTCTTTTCTGATTCCACACAAATCTTAAAATAATTTGTTCCAACTCTCTGAAGAAAGTCCATGGTATTTTGATAGGCATTGCATTAAACGTGTAAATTGCCCTGGGTAACATTGACATTTTCACAATATTAATTCTTCCAATCCATGAGCATGGAATATTTCTCCATCTCTTTGCGTCTTCCTCAATTTCTTTCAGAAGTGTTCTATAGTTTTTATGGTATATATCCTTTACCTCTTTGGTTAGGTTTATTTCTAGGTATCTTATGCTTGTGGGTGTGATTGTAAATGGGATTGACTCCTTAATTTCTCTTTCTTCGGTCTCATTGTCAGTGTATAGAAATGCCACTGACTTCTGGGCATTCATTTTGTATCCTTCCTCACTGCCAAGTTGCCGTATGAGTTCTAGCAATCTTGGGGTGGAGTCTTTTGGATTTTTTATGTAGAGTATCATGTCATCGGTGAAGAGGGAGAGTTTGACTTCTTTGCCAATTTGAATGCCTTTTATTTCTTTTTGTTGCCTGATTGCTGAGGCTAGGACTTCTAGTACTCTGTTGAATAGCACTGGTGAGAGTGGACATTCCTGTCTTGTTCCTGATCTTAGGGAAAAGGCTCCCAGTGCTTCCCCATTGAGAATGATATTTGCTGTGGGCTTTTCATAGATGGCTTTTAAGATGTCAAGGAATGTTCCCTGATCCCTACACTCTGAAGAGATTTGATCAGGAATGGATGCTATATTTTGT